ACTCAGTTATTTGACAATAACAATTTAATGCCGAAATTCAATCTGGATTCCGTCAGTACCATTCGACTGAAACTGCTCTTTTGCAAGCTTTTGCATCATGAGTCTTCTCGAAAGCTTCTGAAAGCTTGGTCGTCGTCATACCAATATATTCCGATTTATGGTACCCACACTTACCAATATTACAATTGAACAATCCACTATCGATTCTGAACAATCCACTATCGATTCTGACTTACTAGTGCAGTTGTTTTTCATCACGAGAGATGACGTTCTTTGATTGAAATAGTATATTCGTAGTTTAATACTATCTTTTTCATTTGTTGTTGGAACGTTATTTTTTATGATACTTATCATGATTTTTTTCACCCTGTTCAAAAACTGTTAACATATGATTCTTGTAATATTTATTATGTTATTTTTGTGATTATTGTTAGTTGCATTGTTGTTGTTGCTGATTTTTTTGTTTTTTTTTGCGTTCTATTATTTTGTGTATCATGGAATTTTTATATTCGTTATTAGTGAGTAATTTAATGACGTTGATGAATTTAGTCGTTGTAGAAGTTTATCCATTTGATCATCTTAATCGCAGATAACGAATATATCATTGACATATCGGCAGGCTTTAACTCTGGTTTTTGTTTTTCTTTAAATAACATTTCTTCGATATGTCCAAAGTAGAAGTTTGCGAAACAGTATACACCGATGCAACAAACAATGGTTTATATTTTAATGAAAATAGGGAATGATGTCAAACATATCCTAAGAGCACAATCTCTGCTTTTGTAAACAGAGCTTATACGCACTCTTCTGATGTAGGAAGCAAAAGAGCAGATCTAGATAGAGTTGTAGAAGTCGATAAAGACGACCAAATAAACAAACTTTTACAAAGACTAAATCAATCAAACTTTGTTTAGCGTGCAGAGACTCAGTTCGCCGAGATAGGACGTTGTTTTCTTTGCCATCAATTTATTGCGCCAAATGAGACGATCAGTTGTATCAATTTCATTTAAATTTAAAGCTTTCATGTCTTGCTCGATTATTTGCGACCAGGACTTCTTTGGACGGCCTTTAAGACTTGTGCCAGGTATTTCAACATTTGCAAGGGAAGTTATGGCACTGTTTCCACTTTGTTTGACATGACTACAGCTGTTCCATTACAATCCAGAACATCCCCTAGATATTGAAACGATGTGACTTTCTCTACCTTAATGGCTTCAAAAACATTGCTATTTCGAATTTGTTGTTGTGGATTGATGCAAGCAAGACAAACAAAATTGGACACTTTAGATAAAGTACCAATTATTTTTGAACAACGTTTGTGCAACCACTGGTTACACTGCTGACACTTGATTACATTGTTACCTACAGCAGCTTTACAAACTGAACAGCGCCATCGTCCAGTAGCTGTGGATTGGATGGGTTCCCCAGTGTTCATTGCTTTGATTTTGCTGATGTTGACTTTGAATCCATGATTGGCGAGTCTGGCGTTCCAATCTTCAAACATCTGTGCTGCATTCTGCTCAGATGTGGCTGTTAAAACGATATCATCAGCATATATTAGATTCCAAATGTCACCAGTGCGTATCGGTTTTGTGATTTCTTCCATAACAGTTATAAATAACAGTGGACTGAGAATCGAGCCTTGGTGAATTCCAACGCCGATGTCAAACGCATCTGTGTTTCCAACCGTTGTGCTGACGAGAGTCTTGGTATTCGTATACATTTCCATGACAAGTCGAACAAGATATTCTGGAATGAGTTGTCGACTTAGACTCCACCTGATTGCTTCACGGGGAACTCGATCAAATGCTTTTTCAAGGTCTACAAAAATGTGTGATAGTTGTTGATGCTTTGCGAAGTACTTCTCTTGCAGTTGCCAAAGGATGTGAATTGCATCAATTGTTGATTTCCCCGATAGGAAACCAAATTGATAATTTCCAATTGTGATGCACGACGTTAATCTTTAGTCAATGATTTTCTCGACAATTTTCAGGGAGTTTTCTAACAGACGTATACCCCGATATGATGAACAGTTCAATAGATCACTTTTGCCTTTATATAGCGGAACTGTCATGCTATAGTTTCATTCAGTCGGCATTGAGCAATTTCTCCACTCTTCGCGGCAAAGTTGTAGTAACGTTAGGATACCTGCGGTACTAGATGCTTTGATAATGTTATTTGTGAGCCCAGAGGGCCCTGCTGCCTTTCCATCCTTCATAGCTTTCAGAGCTTCTGTAAGCTCCGGAAACGGACCTTTGATGGGTGGAGCGTCAAAGTTGACATTGATGGAATTTGTTTCATTTAACAGACGGTTGAAGTATTCTCTCCACTGATGCTTGATTTCATCTTGTTCAAGAACCATCTCATTTTTGTCGTTCTTGATATATGAGGCACCAACTATGTCTTTTTTCGTACGCTTTCATTGTTTTGCTATAGGATACAGAGATTTCATTTGTTCACTTTTGCTTTTAGCACATTTTTGCACTGGTCCTGCTTGCATCAATCCAAAACAACAAATTCGAAATAGCAATGTTTTTGAAGCCATTAAGGTAGAGAAAGTCACATCGTTTCAATATCTTGGAGATGTTCTGGATTGTACTGGAACAGCTGAAGCTGCCGTTCGAGCACGCATACGTGCAGCCTGGAATAAATAGCATCTCCTTGCCTCTATATTGATGCGGCGTGACATCCCACTACCACTACGATCAAGACTTTATAAATCTGTGATACGTCCGGTGTTGTTATATGGTGCAGAAACATGGCCAATGACAACCAAACTGGAACAAAAACTTCAACGAATCGACATGAAAATGCTCCGATGGATGCAACGAATTAGTCTGAAGGACCATATCAAATCTATCGAAATCCTGCGTCGTGCTGGTTTAGATGATATAAAGGACGAATGCCGACAACACCGTCTGCGGTGGTTTGGTCATGTCAAACGAAGTTGAAACAGTGCCATAACTTCTCTTGCAGATGTTGAAGTACCTGGCACACGTCCCAGAGGCCGTCCAAAGAAGTCCTGGTCGCAAACAATCGAGCAAACATGAAAGATCTAAATTTAAATGAAATGGATACAACTGACCGTCTGAATTTGCGCAAAAAGTTGATGGCAAATAAAACAACGTCCTACCTCGGGTAACTGGAACTCTGGACGCAAAACGAAGATTGATTGATACTACTCTAACCAAAGAACGTCGTCTCTCGTGATGAAAAACAATTGCACTAGTAAGCCACATCTATAGTATAACGATACTATTGAACTACAAATATACTACTCTAACCAAAGAACGTTGTCTATAGTGATGAAAAACAACTGCAGTAGTAGGCCACATTGGTAATGGATCATAACCATCTAATTTATTCGTTAAAATGTAATATTGGTGAGTATGGGCACCATAATTCTGAATATATTTGTATGACGACGACCAAGCTGTCGAGAAGAATATTTTTATTATTTTCACATAAAATATATGTAAATAAATAAGATGAATATTTCGAAACACCATAATTGAAGAAAGGCAAGAAGTTAATGTAAGAAAAAAAGAAACCACGATGGCATTGTTTTTTTAGTAACTTTAACAATTTATTTCTAAATAAGAGCCATTAACCAAACGTTTTGTTTTACATGAATACAAACATTAGCCTTTTTATCTAAGCTAAATTTTTATAAATGTAAGTAGATAGATAATTTTAGATTTATTCAATAATTAAATGTAATTCACCGTTACACATAATTAGTTTTTAAAAATTATAAAAAAAACAAAAACACTATGAAAAAATTGAGCTTAATGATGCTCCTGATTTAGATAGCTATTTTTATTGTCAATCTCAATTTACAGAATAAAAGTTAAACATTTATGACCATAATTACTTTCTTATTTAATCAATAAGCAAAAAATTAATTCTATTCTTAAACAAAAATCATTTGATGAAAGCAATAATTGACTAACCAGCGACGGTCGTAAAAAATTTCCGCTTTTTTACAATTTTTCGATTCATCATGCAAAGAATCAATTTGAATTGTTTTAGCTTCAAATGGTTGTAATTCAATTTCTACGATTAACTGATGTTGCGTGAAAATAAAAAAAGATGAGCCATTATATATAGCATGTCTTTAATCATTTTAATTTAAAAAAATAATTACTTCGAATAAGTCTTCATTAATTGAAAGTGTTCTGTCAATAAATGGATTCAGTTGACATGGAAGTATCAATCCATTTTCATCTGCTACCGATACATCAGCACTGTTAACAGATATTCTGAGTATCTCTTGAGTTCGTTTAGAAAGAGGATTCACCGCCGTGAGTAATCTGTACGTTTATGAAAATTGAAGCATTTGAGATCTGGATATGCATGAATCAAATGGTTTAACACGACGCATTAAACAAAACAAATTAAAAACTAGGGACCTGCGAATATTCGATATTCGATTCGAATATAAAAAGAATATTCGAATTCGATTCGAAATTATTTTTAAATTTTCGAATCTTCGAATATTTTTTAAAAAAAGTAATGCTTTTTTGTGAATAATTCAAGCTCAGTTTTGGTGTGTAAAAAGTACTAAACTGGTTTATAAAACAGCTTCTGAAACTAGTATCAGCCGAAAGTTCTACAGTTATTCAAACAAGATTTTTCTTGCTTTCGATTCGGAATTTCCGAAAATAATTTATATTTGTTCTTAAACAAATTGTTTATATTTTATTCATTAAACAATCTTTAATCATACTGGGCCAACTTCGGATCAATTACACGACACGAATATCTGCACTTTTTTACGCAATTTTTTTTTGTGGTATGTTTATATTAGGAATTTATATTTTAATTTTAATTTTTAATCTTTAGTTTTTTTTAATTTTTTTAGGGCCTTCATCATGTCTTCAATTCGAAAATACTTCGACGAGGTTGACAAAAACTTTTTCTGCAAAACGTGCTCAAAAAAATTTTCAGTACAAAAAACAGGAACTACTACTCATCTTTGGACTCATCTGGAAAAAAGTCATCCTAATATTCATGCCACAGCAAAAGAAGAAGTTGAAAAAATGAAAGCTGAAAAGCAACTTTGTGCTCCATCAACATCATCAGCATCAAAGCGAAAGCTGGACGAATCAAACATGAAAATTTCGACCTTTTTTGTCAAAACATTGGATTCTTCCACAAAGAAAAAATATGATAAAGCAGTCTTGAACTTTATTGTGGCCTTTGAAAGTGCTGCAGGAATTGGATTCAAAAATTTGTGCTCTGTCTTTACAAATGGCAGCTACAATCCACCACATCCAACAACTCTTTCCCGAAGATTAGATGATATGGTCAATATCCTTCATGAACAATTTGGAGCAAACTTAAGATCAGACATGGCAACCACCAAACCTTCCATCACATTTGATCATTGGAAAGCTGACAACCAAACAAACAATCTTGTGATCACTCTTCATTTCATTTCTGAATCAGATTGGACCCTCATATCAAGATGCTTTTCAGTTGTAAATCTGGAAAATCTAAATGCAGATCACACCTCTTCAGCAACAGAGGGAATTATTCGAGGAGAATTGGAGAAATATTGCATTGAATTAAGCTCAGTTTTTTTATGCCACTACGGATACTACAAACACAATGCCTTGTACAGCTAGACAGTTGGGAATAAGCTGGCAAGGATGTGCTGCTCACAGTTTGCAACTTTCAATCAATGCTGCTTTAGATGATCAAAAAATCATTCAAAACCTAATCAGTTATGTTCACAGGATTGCTGGTTTTTTTTCATTCATCAACTGTTGGTCAAAACATGTTGTCCAAATATCAAACTGATCAAGGAATGAAGAAATCAAAGCCTCCGTTAGATGTTATTACTAGATTCAATAGTACATATTATTTGCTGGAATGGATCGACCAAAACTCTGTTCCTGTCTCTCTTGCACTTGTAGAATGTGCTGTTAAAAAGAAATGTGCAAGAAATCCCTCAAAACCATTAACACAAACTTTACAAGATACTCTGTAAATTGTAGAATGTGCTGTTAAAAAGAAATGTGCAAGAAATCCCTCAAAACCATTAACACAAACTTTACAAGATACTCTGAAAGCTATTCTTCCAATTCTAAGACCAACAACAGTTTTGAGTGCTGATTCCAATGTCAGTATAAGTTTGATCTATCCTTGCATTTTTACATTGAAGGAAGAGTTAGAGTCCAAATCATCAACAAGTCACCAACAATTTCGAGATGAGCTATTGAAACAACTTGAAGTAAGATTTGATTTGACAATGGATCATCTAATGGCAGCCACATTCATTGATCCAAGATTTAAACACTACTTATTTTCAGAAGCTGAAACTAAAAAAGCTGTCTTATTTGTAGAGACAATATTGGCAAACCTTGAAGGAAGCAGTTGGCAAAAATTCTGATAAATTGTCACGTGAAAGTCTTGTTCAAGACAGGAATAGAGGAAGCCTTATGGATTCAATGTTCAATAAAGTGCATAATGCTCAAGGAGATACCAGAATCAACAAAATTTCCACCATTTCTGAGCAAATTAAGGATGAAGTCAGTTTGTATTTAAAGCAAGCAGTTGTAGATCAAAACAGTGATCCTCTTCAGTTTTGGAAAGAAAGTATTAATATTTTTCCACTTTTGGCCAGAGCAGCTAGGAATTTGCTTGCAATTCAGGCAACACATTGTTCTTCAGAAAGAGTTAATTCAGTTGGAGGACAAATTATTACTGACTACCGTCACAATCTCTCGGAAAATAATGCTGAAACTTTGATTTGGACCAAAATAAATAAAGATCTACTCTTTAAAAGGCCTGCTTTGCAATTTAATTATTGCTAACTTTTTGTGTTTTAGTATTAAATAAACATAATATAAATTTTGAATTTGAAGTTTTATTTTACACTTGTTGGTTGTCAAGTTTTTTCAAGAATATTCGATTCGAATTCGATTCGAATATTTTCTGATATTCGATTTTAAAAAAATTTCCTGAATCGCAGGTCCCTATTAAAAACTTCTAGTTTTTTTTATTAAACATAAAAAAGAAAATCATTTTTAATTTAATCGATCATAAAAAGATTCAATCAATCTTCGTTTTGCGTCCAGAGACCCGGTTTCCCGAGGTAGGACGTTGTTTTCTTTGCCATCAACTTTTTGCGCCAAATTAGACGATCAGTTGTATCTATTTCATTAAAATTTAGAGCTTTCATGTCTTGCTCGATTGTTTGCGACCAGGACTTCTTTGGACGGCCTTTGGGACGTGTGCCAGGTACTTCAACATCTGCAAAAGAAGTTATGGCACTGTTTCCACTTCGTTTGACATGACCAAAGGGTGTCCCGTCGATGTATGAAAAAAAAATTTTTTTAAGACACATTATATATAACAAGAGGTATCAAAAGTTGCGAAATTTTATGCAGATTTCAAAAATAATAAAACAATAAAAATTATATGTCTTCTTGAGGGTTCTACCACGCTTTAAAGTTTTGAAAATTTAATGTTTTCAATTACTTGAATCGTTTGCATAAAAAAACAAAAAAACTCGCATTTATAATAGATTTTTTAATACTATTTATAAAACAAAACACATTTAAACAAGATTAAACAACAGACGGTTTATATTCAAGTATAAAATATATTTAAAATTTGAATTTATTTTTATGTCCGAAAATTGGAAATTCAGCTCGACTTTGTAACGTGGTTCTTACGAAACCATCTCTCGAATTAACATTAGTCACACTCTGTGATGCTTCTGTTACCAGTTTAACACATCTCTCTATTGATTGTGTGTGGCAAGAAAAATCAACAATTTTAAGGCTTCCATCTTTTGCCATCTTTTTGAGTTCGTCATTAGTAACATCCCGAAGCACAGGTGGTACTGTAACTTGACACTACTGCCACGAAATAATTTCAGTATAATCTTTAGCAGAGAAGTTAAGCTTCGGTGTTTTAAATATTCTCTGTTTGAAACCATTGTCAGTATTTTTAGCTTTTATTATTCTTCGACATGCTAGTTCCCGAATATAGTCTCTGTCGTCAAATAACATACTAACAAGAAGGTTTTCTGGATGTGCATAAAAAGCATTTCTCTCAATTACAGAATCTACAATTGTTCTTAGATTTGTTGGTAAATATCGAGAGAATAAAATTAAATTAAAAATATGCTTAGCTCCATCTTTAAGAGGTGTTTTTTGTTTAATTGAAAACCAAATAGGATCATATACTTTAACTACATATTCGACAAGTATTTGCAAACTTTCTGATGGATCAGGAGTACTTACATATAGTCTAAGTAAACGGTTGGCACAAGTAAGCCATCTTGAATGAGATAGATTTCCAGGTTGACGGTTTGCGAGCTCAGGACTACAGGAACCAGTTAATACTGCTTGACATATTTCATAGAGATATTTTTGATCTGTACTCAGTTCATTAACTACATTTTTCGTTAAATCAGGCAAATGACCGGTCAGTGGTTGAAAAAGCAACGTAGTTTCATTTTCGCAAGTAGCTAATTGTTTTCCAATAGGCCCTGAATATTCTCTAGGACCTGAAGTGCAGCTATCTAAAGCCAAGAATAAATGACGAAAAGGTAGCTCGTTAGCATGAAGCATACAAACACACCATTGTAAAGGTCTATCCAAATACTCTTCAAGGTATTTAATTACACCACCTTTCCACCCGGTATTAGTTGCAGTTCCATCACATCCAACGCAAATTACGTCATTTAAATTGTAATTTCGATTTTTTAATAAAGTTATGATTGAAGTAAAGATTTCTTTTGCGGTTCCACGACATGGCGATGTATGTCCCAAAAAAATAGAATTAGGTTCTGATAAAATTGAAATATGTTCTTCTAAAACCCCTTTGCGATGGTAACGGACTCCTATTTTTTTATTCACCAACGTTTTGTTATTTCGACCATCAAAATAAATGCTGTTTAGTGAAACTTCGCTAATATTTTGAAATACATTTTTTCTGGCCTTTGATACAGCTCTGTGTACTTTATTTTTGTCTGTTACTAGAGTTGAGTCTTCATTTGAAACCAGACCTACGTCAAGTAAAACGGCAGAAGCAACAGCAGCAGCAGATCGTGTAGACAATCGATATCTATCACAAACTTTTGCCAATGTTGGTAACTGCAGTAAATTTCGATTAGCGAATGATGTTGTTGGTGTATTTGTAAATGACAGGTTTGTCAGAAGTGTTTCTGTTGCCAGGTTGGTTTTGGAAAAATTGATATGCGTCTCGTCTTCATCCAAAGCTGTTGAAACAATATTAGAACCTTGTGTTGACCAAAACTTTTTGACTCCTTTCATTGAACGTTCAAATTGTCTTGTCTGTCGTTTCCTCAATCTGACCGTTTCTTGTTTATCGATGCCACTTATAGCCATTTTTCTCTCATTTCTTTGATCGATCAAAAATTGTCTTTCGTTAACAGAAACTTTTTTATTTTTCAAACATACACATGCTTCAAATAAGATACATTTACATGAAGCCACATCAAAAAGCCTCTTTGATAAATCTGAAAAACATTTCAGTTTTTTCTCAAAACTATCATGTCATTTGCTCTTGGGATATCTTTTCAAAGTGAGATATTTTTCAAAATAAGATTTTAAAAGTTGTAAAACTCGATCATTAGATACGATTGGAATGGAAACTTTTATCCAGATATTTTAAATTTTTTTAGATACAACTGAATAAATGTTTAAATTGGATGGATCCTTGCCATTACATTTTAGTTTCAGGTCATTCCTAACAAATAAAATAAATTTAATGACATCCCCTATGGTTGGTAGCTGCCGTTCGTTAATTTCATCATATGGACCTAATATATCACATACGGAATAGCTACGCATTGAACTCATTTTCTGAAAGATGAAAATAAAACATTTCTAATTTTAAAATTTTATAGCAAAATAATAAGATTAGTTTAATAGAATTCGCTTACAATAAAAATCACGTCTTCAGAAACTGAAATTTTAGTGAATTTGCTAACTCAAACTAGAAAAATTTAAAACAACCAGGAAAACGCTAATGGATACAAATTAAAACAATGTGAAGTGAAGTTATCACATGTAAACAAAAAAAAGAACATATATAACATTTTGATTATGATTCGGATTCGACGTTAAGCGGCACAAAATATTAACACAAAAAATGCCATTTTTCAAAACTTTAAAATTTGGTAGAACCCTGATGATGCAATTTAATTTAATTTGTATGATTATTTTCGTAATTTAAGATCAAATTGGCAACTTTCAAGAGGTCTTGTATTGCGAAATTCTAAAAAAAAAATTTTCGCGACACCCTAATGACCAAACCACCGCAGACGGTATTGCCGGCATTCGTCCTTTATATCATCTAAACCAGCACGACGAAGAATTTCGGTAGATTTGATGTGGTCCTTCAGACTAATTCGTTGCATCCATCGGAGCATTTTCATGTCGGTTCGTTGAAGTTGTTGTTCCAGTTTGGTTGTCATTGGCCATGTTTCTGCACCATATAACAACACCGGACGTATCACAGATTTATAAAGTCTTGATCGTAGTGGTAGCGGGATGTCACGCCGCATCAATATAGAGGCAAGAAGATGCCATTTATTCCAGGCTGCACGTATGCGTGCTCGAACGGCAGCTTCATCTGTTCCAGTACA